TGTGTGCTTATGTGCCAAAGTCGAAGAGCATATATGTATCTACATTGTGTAATATATGACTGCGCGTAGACGAACGGCGGTACCGGTGGCGGCGGCCCTATTTTCTCTACACTGTATAGGGAAACAATCGTCGTCATGGAGGCGTCGGCGGCGGCGGCGGCGGGGCAGGTGGTGACCTACTGCCGTGCCTGTGGTGATGCTGTATGACGGTCAAGTCGAATGGTCTGACCGCGGCGGACGCAATCGTCGCCACTGCCTGGGCCATGCCGCTACCGAGACTCCCTAATCCTGCTATTCCTATTCCGCCTCCTCCTCCGCTCCCTCCTCCTCCTCCTCCTCCTCCACCATCTCCTCCGGGTTCTTCTTCGGGGCTGGGCGACGACAAGAAACGATGGCGCCCCGTGAACTTCGGGTAGTGCGTCTTCTCGTGCGCCTTAAGTATCGTGGACCGTGAGAATGTTTTACCGCACAGCGCGCACCGAAACGGCCGTTCGCCGGTGTGCACACGACAGTGGTCCTTCATGTGGTGTCGGAGCTTGAACGCTTTGCCGCAGAACTCGCACTTGAACGGCCGGTCACCAGTGTGCACGGGCAGGTGGCCCACCAGCGTGGCGACGTCCGGGAACGTTTTGCCGCAAAACTTGCACAGCGTGCCGCCTCCGCCGTCGTCCATCGCGGACGCATTGTTGCACGTTTGCGGCGAAGACGACGACGACGACAGCAGTGACAGCGAAAGCGCGGATGGTGGCGGCACGAGTACGCCGCCACCACCGGGGTCCGTAAACGAAATGCTTCCGCCACCGGGCGGGTTGTCCAGGCTGTGTGACAGTATGTGCCGCGTGAGCTTGCTCTGGTGCGGGAACGTTAGGTTGCAGTACATGCACGTGTAGTACCGCGGCGGTAGCGCGGCTGTTGTGACGACAGCGTCCGTTGCCGTCTTGTCTTCGCGCTCCTGTAACCGAAACAAAAAAAAACAAAAAAAAAAAAAACTCTCATCAACTTCTTTTCGCTGGTAGATTTCGTTGAGTAATGTATGTATTGAAAAAAAAACCAAAAATAAAAGATTTGAAAAAAAAAACAAAAAAAAATTGTAATAATTATAAAGTCAAGTAAATAATATCATTGCGAACAAAATAGTGTCAGCACAAGAAGTTGACGGGTTTTTTTCTTTTTTGTTGTCTTTGTTTTGGCTACAGGCGCGGCCATATATTATAATATCTATTCATATATATGTATATATATATATATATATATATATATATATATATATATATATATATGTATAAATGTGTAAATAATAAATTAAACGATCGAAAACTCCATTCCACGAGCACCATTGGTTTTAAAAAACGCATAATATCATCTTAGGCGAGTATATATAGTATATTATAAACACTTATCTAATTATAATAAAAATATAAAATGATTTTAAAAAAAAAATTAAAAAAATGTTTTATAGTACATGGGTCATTTTCCACATTAAACATTGATAGAATAGTTGTTTTATGCAAATATGAAATTTAAACGAAAGAATTGTCCATTAGGTTGTTTTTATTTTGGGTAATTATTTATTTTTTGCAGTTATAATTTCGATCGCTGTCACCAATCAGTAATAATTTTTTTAGCCAAACTGCCGCAGAATAGATAAGCACAGCAAAGTGACACATGTAGAATTTTAAAGTGGGTAAGCCCCAAAATAATAATTAAGCTACCATAGATTATTAAGCTTTGTAGTAAGTGTAAATTTTAGGATCAGATAAGTTGTAACAAATATTTTTTAAAATTTGAAAAAATCGTAAGATCAAAAATTAGTCAATATAAAATATTGGTTCTGATTTAAATCCTTCTTCTACAATTTTTACCCTAATTAGAAGCATGTCAATGATGTAATTTATGAGTAGGATGCCAACCCTAATTATAATATGCGAATGTAAATATGTTCATAATATGATATATTATATCACCTCACCGTATTTGTAATAATTGTCCTTGGGTGTATATCATGTGATAAACAATCAAAATAATAACTGTTTATTATAATTATAATAACAAAGAGAGTAAAATTGTCTATGATTATAATGTTTATATCAGAGAAGTTTTATTAAATATTCAATTACGAAATCGCCTGTTTATTTAATAACACTGAGTAACATGATTAAATAGTATAAATGAGTATAAAGACTAACATTCTTTTATTCTTTTGGGTATATTTTAAAAAATGTAAAGATTATAAAAGTTCATATTTGCGTGATATTTATAACATACAAAGAAATTAATGAAACTCGAAAGAAATACTATTTTTAAATTAATTTGATTTTTCTTAAAAAAAAAAAATTAAATGTATCAAAAGTAATAAATTAATAATTTGAAATTATCAGTTATAGAAATTTGAATAAAAAAGTTTCCATGATAATTTTACGTATAGTAAAAATAGATAGGTAGTAGGGAATACTTGTGACAGTCGATGGAAAAAAAAAATAAGTATTTATTAAAAATTAGCAATTATTAGAATAATAATCACGATAGCAGTATGAATTAAATATATAATTACAAGTCGATAAATAGTTATTTATAATAGATATAAAAATAAAGTCTGCATAACCTTAAAAGTCCATTTTATTTTTCAAATAGTTCTCTAACCATACGAGTATACAAAACGTGGAAGTGCGGTATGCAACGGCCCAGTTCTGAAATGTATTATATTTTGATTATTATTAAAATAACAGGGCACACAACATTTATCGCTCAGTATGCCTATGTAATAATAATTATAGCACATAGAGAGTAAGCTAAACTAACCTACGCACACAATTGTAATTATACAAAATTTGAAGTCAACTTCTTGAGACTGCACTTAGTTCGTATAAAAATATTTCAATATTTCTAAGCCGCATATCAGCATACGATGGAAAAATGTCGTACAATTTACTACAGTTTTTTTTTCTTAATTACGTTCAGTCTCGTTATACACAAATCAAAATAATTTTCATTTTATATTCTGAATTATATTTTCATTATATACATTTAATAACAACGGGAATTGATGCAATTTAAATGAATAATAAATAGACACAATTTTATGCTTACCGGATCTGGTATACTCCGATATTCTGAAGAGCTTTCCCCTTGAATGCTTCGGTCGTCAGTCTTGTCACAGTCAGCTTCTTTCTTCAAGAACTGTATAATATAATGTTGGATTTTAGTTATAACAGAATAAAAATTAAATGAGCATACGAAAAAGTTTTTCATTGGTTTTTATAAACGAATACGGCTAATGTTTATTAATGAAGTACATTATTTTTTTGTAATTATGTATAATAATTACACATAGTGATTACATTTATAATAATATGATTTAGATTTTTCGTTTGCAAAGAATACATTTTATCGTTATTTCAAATCAAATTGATACTTTATGTAACAATCAAAATTTATACTGTTGAGAGACTTTTTATTCTGTTAGAAAATGTTATTTTCATTTAAATGTATTTATTAGAATAGTCTGATTTTCAATATTATAAATACTTCCTAAATATATATAAGAAAAAAAATGTTTATAATCGTAAATATCATTGTGTTAAAAGTTTTAACACGTAAATAAACTACTATAGTATAAGCTTTCTATACATCCACACACACACACACACACACACACACACACACACACACACACACAC